CGGCGGCGGCGCTTCCGGCGGCAGCAGAGGGGCGCCGCCAGGGGGCGCGCGGCGCGGCCGTTGGGCGGCCGTTACGCAGCCGTTGTGCGCGCCAGGTGGCGGTTGAACGGCCGTTGAGCGGCCATTGTGCGCGCCAGGTGGCAGTTGAGCGGCCGTTATGTGGCCGTTGGGCGGCCGTTGTGCAGCCGTTGTGCGCGCCAGGTGGCGGTTGAGCGGCTGTTACGCGGCCGTTGGGCGCGCGAGGCTGCGGGTGGGAGGCGCTGTCGCAGCCGTGTTTCGACGACAACGTTTTATTTATTGAGTGTCGAGTTCGTAGGTGGATGTCCCTGCCCGTTTATGGAGCTTTGTGGTGCTTTTATTSCAGAAAATAATGTTCCCACTTGTCCTTTGCATTCTCTTGCCCAACCATTGGTCAATACAGGGATTTTAATTCTTAGGCAGCACTCGCTTGTTTTAACCTTTGCTGAATATTCTTCTTCATAGTTTTTCAGGAAACATTGGTCATCATTTCACATTTGCCCGTTGATACCTTGATGTAATTGTAGCAGATCTGCAAATCCACATTCTCCTGCAGAAGCTATATGTCAACTAAGTGTCTTTTGTCGTATTCAGTAGTTGGGTGCACTGACAGTACTTTYCCAGGTGCTTGCTGGAGCTTTCACTATAACCACTCACTGTAAGCTTTCAAAAAGGAATCTTTATTGGGCAAGTTTAACAGGGAGATTTCCAGAATTCATGCTCTTTCTTGTTTTCTTTGTTGTGCTCTTTGAAAATGGCTACTATTTCAAAGATAACTTGTGTTTAATAGCCCCCTATTGTTTAGCTATACTTACTCTATCCTCACCCTTTAAAATCTTTCTAAAATGATCTATATACATTTACTCCATCTCTATTGCCATATTATCTTTGAACAGCCTCCCCAACACCTGCCTACTTCTTTTGAATTCCTTAGAATCTCAGAATCGTTGTGGTTGGAAAAGACCTTCAAGATCAYTGAGTCCAACCATAAACCTGTCACGACTGTGCCTGCTAAACCATGTCCCTAAGTGCTTCATCTACACATTTCTTGAAGACTGCCAGGGATAGTGACTCCACCACTTCCCTGGACAGCCTCTCCAATGCTTGACTACTCTTTCTGTGTAGAAATTCTACCTCAYGTCTAATCTGAACCTCCCTTGGTGCAACTGCAGCTCCCTCAGCAGCTCCTCATAAGGTCTGCGCTCCAGCCCCTTCACCATCTTTGTTGCCCTTCTTTGGACACTCTCCAATGTCCTTCATGTGGTGAGGGACCCAAAACTGAACACAGTATTTGACGTGTGGCCTCATCAGTGCCGAGCACAGGGGGACAATCACTTCCCTGGTCCGGCTAGCTACACTGTTCCTGATACAAACCAGGAGGCCGCTGGCCTTCTTGGCCACCTGGGCACACTGCTGGCTCATGTTCAGCCAGCTGTCAACCAACACCCCCAGGTCCTTTTCTGCCATGCAGATCTCCAGGCACTCTGCCCCATGCCTGTAGGGCCGCATGGGGTGGTTGTGACCAAAGTGCAGCACCTGGCACTTGGCCTTGTTGAAGCTCACGCAGTTAGTCTCCACCCATTGATCCAGCCTGTCTGGATCCCCCTGCAGAACCTTCCTACCCTCAAGCAGATCTGCTCTTCCTCCCAGCTTGGTATCATCTGCAAATTTGCTGAGGGTGCACTCAATCCCCTCATCCAGACCATTGATAAAGATATTAAAGAGGACTCCCCCACACACAACACTGATCCCTGGGGAACATTGCTCGTCACCGGTCATCAGTCAGACTTAACTCCGTTCACTATCATTGTCGGGACCTGGCCATCCAGCCAGTTCTTCACCCAGTGAAGAGTCCACCTGCCTAAGGCATGAGCTGCCAGTTTCTCCAGGAAAAAGCAGAGGGAGACGGTGTCAAAGGSCTTACTGAAGTCTAAGCAAACCATGACCACACCACTGGGCAGGTCACCTGGTCATAGAAGGAGATTGGGTTGGTAAGGCAGGAATTGCCTTTCTTGAACCCATGTTGGTTGTGCCTGATCTGATCCCCTGGTTGTCACACACACACACTGTGTGATGGCTCTCAGAATGATCTACTCCATAACTTTCCCTGATACCAAGGTGACAGGCCTGTAGTTCCCCAGATCTTCCATACAACCCTTCTTGTAGATGGGCGTCACATTGAGCAGCCTCCAGTGTCTGGGACCTCCTCTCCTGTTGACCAGGACCGCTGGTGGGTGATGGAGAGCRGCTCAGTGAGCACTTCGCCAGCTCCCTCAGAGCCCTTGGATGGATCCCATCTAGCCCCATAGACTTGTGGATGTCCAAGTGGAATAACAGGCCACTGACTGTTTCCTCCTAGATTATGGGAGGTTTATGCTGCACTCTATTGGTGTCTTCCTATAGGTGCCTTCCAGAGCCGGAGTCACCATCTCTGGCAGTGTTCAAGAAACATGTAGATGAGGCACTTAGAGACATGGTTTAACAGGCATGATGTCAAAGGGCTCTTTTCCAACCATAATGACTCTATTTTTCCAGCTCTAGGGGCCTGGAGGATAACTGATCTGAGTGCTAAAGGCACTGAGAGTGAGGTAAAGAAGGCCTCATCCTCACCCTTGGTGGCAATATTCTCCGTCACATAGGTCCCTATTCAGCCAGGCCCTTCTTCCCTTTGAGCTCAGCTTTTGACACATGGGGACACCTGCTCCTGCACWTTTGAGATTTCCTCCTTGAGAAACGTCCAGCCTACCTGGACCCCTTTGCTCTTCAGGACTGTCTTCTAAGGGACATTCCCAACTAATGTCCTAAACAGTCCAGAAGTCCAGAGGTCCAACATAGCAATTTTGCTGATGCCCCTCTGACTTCACCAAGAATTGAAAACCATCTCATTTCGTAGTCACTGTGCTCAAGTCGGCCTCTGATMACCACATCTCCCCTTCTGTGCCCTTCTCTGTCGGCAAAGAGCAGGTCCAGCAGGGCTCCTCCCCTCGTAGACTTGCATACCAGCTGTGATAGAAGTTACCTTCCATGCACTCCACGAACCTCCTAGATTGTTTCCTCTCTGCTGTGTTGTATTCCCAACAAACGTCTGGTAGGTTGAAGTCCCCCATGAGGACAAGAGCTGCCGATTGTGAGACCTCTGGCAGCTGCCTGTAGAATGCCTCATCCGTCTCTTCATCCTGGTTGGGTGGTCTGTAGCAGACTCCCACCAGGATATCAGCCTTGTTGGCCATTCCCCTYATGCTGACCCATAAACACTCGGCTTTTCCATCACCCACTTGGAGCTCCATGCAATCGAAGCACCCACCCCCTAACACACCTGGCTACCCCAGCTCCTGTTCTTCCCTGCCTTCCCTTTGGAAGAGCCTGTAGCCATCATTGCAGCACTGACTTCCTACTGCCTCCTGCAGCCCCGCAGGTGTTACCAGGATGGGAGTTTTGTTTCTTCCCCCAAAACGATGTTGAGCAATGTGGTCATGACTGTTATTCTTCAGTAGTAACATTGTGATGGGAATCGGGGCCTTTCTCCGCAGTAAATCCAGAGTTGCTGTTCCTGTTCTTATCTATCCTAAAAGCAATTGTTCTATGATATTTAAAAATACAGCCTTGATACAATGCCTGTCCTGGCTTTTACCAGGCATGCAGAGAATAAGTGAGTCTCTCATTGCTCTTTCTGCCCTTGCAGCTTCTACAATTTGTTGTAGTCATTAACACCATTGTGACTGGGGGATGCCAGTATGGTGAGTTTTCTGTAAGCAAAAAAAAAAAAAAAAAAAACCCAAATCTCTTCTGTACAGACTAAGTTCATGCAGTTAAATTATTTACATTTCTTTAACAAATATTGCTATTTCTCCACTAGTGTGACCTTTTGCATTATTCCTATGTAAGTTGTTCCATATTGCTGTGTCCCAATTTGCTACTCTGCCAGTCTTCATCAAAATCTTGTTTCTTGCAGTTCCGTTGCAGGTGCTGTAGCACAGAAATGCACACCTTTGGCTTTGCATTACACCTTAGAGGCACCAGAGAAAGGAGAAAAATTAAGTGGCAATAAAATTTTCCTATCCCTTGGGCCCAAATGTATTCCAGACAGGATTTGTGGAGGCAGACTGATTTATAAAGTCAACATTACTCCAAGTATGCTGGTTGTCAGACTGGAAGATGCTTTTCAGCATTTTGATGAAGTACGTTAGTACATTTTAAAATTTAATTCATTTAAATCAAAATATGTGCTCTTGCAAATGTATTTGCATATACACTTTTAAATCTACCTAGATCTCTCTTTTCAGTGACATATTGGAGATGATGATGTTCAAATATGGGTTAGATGTAGGCTGTATGTAGAGGGAACTGATAGGTTTGTAACAGTCTGATTTCACAGTTTTGTAACAGGTATTTTTTATATTTAACTTGATTTGGGCAACTGAAAGTCAATATGATACACCAATCCCATTCTTCAAAATAAACTGAATGGCTGGATCTGTGATTTTTATAGCATTTAGTCATTTTTTTTTCTTTTTTTTTCTGTGACATACATTGCATGGTACATAAATACTTGTCCTTTAATTCATTCCATATAATGAAACATGCCTATTTTGCCTTAAATCTTCTCAGCCAGGGACCAGAAAAACTTAGGAAGTTGTAGTAGCTGTAACACCAAGTAATTTGATGTCCAGATTTTGAAAGGTTGTTATATTGGTGAATTTTAGAAGGATTTTATTGGGGAGGGTTTGCAGTTTGCACATAAAGTTTGAAGCATTTGTTAGTATATTTCTGACTGTCCTGCAGCCTCAGTTATTATTCCTAGATCTGCTCAGTATGCTAAAAAGAAATCRATATAATATATATTAAGAAAAAAAAGCTTCCCTACTACACCAAGCTATTTCCAGACTGATTTTCCTTTAGCTGCCATACCAGCTAAGCTGGAATTTAACAATTTTCACAATGGCCGTGTTACAAACTGTGTCAACTTTAACTTAAGATCAGCCCATGACAAACTGCATGCAAATTCTTTCATATCTTTGTCTGTTGCGCTTTCTTGACTGGCTATCATTTATATTTATAATAATTTGACTTCTGAGCTGTAGCTATTCAGTTCTGCATTTTGTAATTTTATTGGCAGTTGCTGTCAAATTAACTTACCAGTTGTCAAATTAATTTACCAGTAATATATTCTTCCCTCCATGCAGTAGCTTGTGTTAGAAAAACCTCATGTATGAAAAGCTAAGGAACATGATTTCCTTGTATCATTTATTAGGCAAACTACTATTTGCATTTCCTATTTTTCATTTATTTTTTATTTTTTGATGGAGAGACAAGATAATACATGTTGTAGGAGARCAATTCGATGGATGTGAAAATACAATTCCATTTGTATGGAAACAGACTCTTTTAGGAGAGTATTTATGAAAAATATTTATGAAAAGCAACCAATTTAAATATTAGAATAAAACCTGCCTTATAGTTCATTGAGAACCACTAGAATTTCTAAGTAATGGTTTTGTTCAGTATCTTAAGAATTGGAAAATATTTCTAAGATAGAAGTGAGAGAGATCAACTGATAGAAAAGTTTTACTCCAGTGCATTTCAGACAAACTGCATGAAAATGGTCATTTGGGGATGCTGCTGTAACATGATAGGGTCCAGCAAAAGCCTTAGCTGTGTGGACRAACTGTTAAGCCTGGTTACATGGGAGATTTAGGCTCCGATCCCCACTTGGTAAGATAGTCATTGCTCCTGACCTTTCCTCTGTCCAAGGCTGGGTGCCTGGAGTCTGCTACTTGATCATGCTAATATGCTGGAAAAATAGGAATTTGCGTTCCATGTGATTTTTGTGCTAACAAGGAATACTTTCAGATTCTTTGCTGCTGCTGCTTCATCTGTGTCCATTTTAGTATCTGCAGTCCTTTCTTTTAGTTCCTTCCAGGTCAACCCCAGGCTTTGAATTTAGCTTTAGCTGCTGGGACGCACTGTGTAAGACGGCTCAGTTGGAATTCCTGTTCCTGTCCAGGCACAGTGGTCAGCTGCTTCGTTTGCATTAGCCTGTCATTTCCATGCGTGTTAAGTCTCTGTTGGGAAAAAAAAACTGTCTGCCTGTATACAGTCTTCACTACACCTAGTTAGAGTTAACAGGTTAAAGTTAACTTTAACTTAGTTAAAGTTAACATTTCCAAGTCTTAGGATGGATTTGAGTTGTTTCAGCGCAACTGCCCGTCTTGCTTCCTTCTTCAGATATATGAGAAGTATCTGGGGAGACGCAGCAGCAGAGCAGGAGAGAAGAACGCTTTGATCCAAAGAGGAGAGTTGGTTTTCCAATGACAATGAGCTGCATGATCTTTGATGCTACATCAGTTTTAGAGTTGTCAGTAAAAATGGTAGACGTTAAAATACAGAAAGAAAAAAATATGAGGCACAACAATCACCTTTCTTTGGTTTTGTGGTTAGCGGTTGTGGTTGTTTTTAATTATACAAAGGTCTCCCACTGCCACCAATAACATGATAGAGCTTGTGAGGAATACAGTCTGCCTTGCAGCAAGTTTCAGTATTCTGATAAATGTATTTAGGCTCAGTCCACATGGAGATGGAGGTGCTGCATTTTTAGGCAAACCACCAGTGACTATAAACCTCCGGCTTGCACTACATAAGGAGGCTTCCCCCGGCCAGCTCCCTGGGAGGGTAACTACAGCAAATAGAGTAATTCAGGGATTCTCAGACTAGGGGCAGGTTCCTCTGCTAAATCAGCAGTGTGTGGGGCAGCACCGGCCRGGGTTCTACCAGCCAAGACTCGGAAGTATTTAACATGTATTTGTATAGTGCTGCATTTAACKAAAACCTTTTTTTCCTTTCTCTGAGAGTATAAAATTTTAATTCTTGCCTCAAATGGTAGTTAGAATCTAAATCAGGTATTTCTATCGCTCTGTGACTTATTTGTTCCATCCCCTCATAGTATGGGGGTGGGAWCCCTTACTCCTCTGTATGAAAGGGATAAAGTATCTATGTAGGAGACTTTCCTGTCAGAGCCAAGTCATGGATGCAGAATTTACTTTCCAGGTACTGAACTATTAAGACAAGGAATCTGTATAGGTTTAATGTGAAACTATTTCCATCTGTATATATAAMTTCAGTAAAAAATAAGAGATCTGAGCAACAGTGAACAGCCAAAGTGGACACCTGCCCTTCTCRCGCTGTCTTGTGTCAGCTCTGCCTGGGAGTGCTCAGAGAGGTGCCTGCTCCCCTCGACTCTGGTGGGACAGCACCCAATCTGAGATTCTTTTCAGGAACTACACTGAGAGCAGCTCAAAACTAAAACCACAGAACTTTATTTTTGAGGCCCTCCACTCTATATACATATTTATTGTAGCTACAGGCCAAATACCAGCTACAGGATTTCCTTCTGGCAAGTTTGGCACTTCCATTGCTATTATACATAAGTCCTCTTGTTTAAGGGCCCGCTCAGACTTAATAATGTCTTCAAAGAGACATATATAGGGGAACCTACAAGACATCAATGATTTTCCTCTGATGAATCCACAGAAGCTTGTAAGTGAAACTGGTTAAAAAACAATTCATAGTCATCCCTGCTGTATGGCAATTAAATAACCATGAGCACTCTAATCACTTTTCTTCTTCGCATCAAATCGGTCCAGTAAGGCCTTCCAAATGCTGCCGGGGATTCTTTGGTGCTTGTCTATTAGAGCCTGGACTGCAGTCTTTGTCTGAAAGAGAAAAGAAAGTTGCCCTTTATGTATTTGCTTATGCGACAAACAGGATAAGCACTGACTCTGYGGCAGAGCTTCCAGAGGTGCTGGCAAATGCGTATTTAAGATAGGTGTCAATTCTATTTAAATTAATTGATTTAATTAATAATTTATATTAAAGGAAATATAAAGTTCCTTTTATTTCCTGTTTAAAAAGGAAACAGGACATGGAGTGCAGTTTGGTAAGGGTCATATTAAGACTTGAGCCCAGGTAGTTACTAAGTCAAATTAGCCTTTAATATATTTACACATTAAGTTTGTGAAGGTTTTCAAGAGCAAAAGCTCGACAAACCTCATCCAGTTTCATTATCTGAGCCTACTGTGTCCAAGAAGTTGGACCATGGGCTTCCAGATGTCTCTCCCAACATGAATTTTATAATTATATCACAATTCCTCTATAATTTTATCATATTCAGCATATACATAATAAGAGAACTCAACTACATTGTTACTTTTTAGTCTGCCTGGAAGTCAAATGCAAGTTTCTGAAGAAGATATATTAACTATTCTGCATCTCCACTAGTGATAGAAATGGCTCTTCTAGTTTTCCTAATATATTTAAATTTGAAATAAGGATAGCGAAGTACTACAGTCATCTGTCCCAAAGCAGAGGCAAAATATCACTGGGAACACAAGCAAAAAGTAGCTAAACTTTTCCTGATAGATTAACTTCTTGACTCCTTTCCGAGGCAGGATCAGATAGAGGTCAGCAAGTCTACAGTTCATCTCAAACCTCATTTAAGTTATTTATTTTTTAACTAATACTGGATGCAAGCAAATCTATTTCCACTGAAGTAGACAGCCAAACTCCTGACTTAATAAAGCAAGATAATTCAGTGGCAATTTAAAATTTCAGTTTAGCAAGTATACAAAGCACTGTTCCCCACCAAACTGAATAATTTGGGTAACTATAAGGGCTGTCTTAGTATTAACGTTGCATGCRGCCTCCTGCAGCTGGAGCCCAAAGSCCGCAGCTGGCAGGGACAGTTCTCCTGCARCTGACCAACCCATCCTTCTGGCTCCGCTCTCCGAAGCCCAGAACAATCCGCAGCAACAAAACAAAGCAAAACAACTGCTTCTCGCATCCTTTTCGGGCTGATTTTTAGATCAATGATTCCCAACCCGTATTTTGATCTATCTCTTCCTAAACCGTAATACCATTTTCTGAATAAAGCGATCTTTCATCTTCTATGAAAAAGGATTAAGGGCATTTCCTGCATAGATTAGTATTTTGAAAAATCCCATACCATAGATCTGTAAAAGTTTCAATGCATCTAACCACAATTAATGTCATCAAGCTGTAGGCACTTGCAATATTTTTTGCATTTAGGATGTGATTTTTTTTTTTTGTTTTCCTTTTGACAGTGAGACTGAAGCTCTTTTGGAACTTATCTATGTTTCTAGTGCCCTGTGTTCCCCAGGGAAGATATTTATTATACATGAAGTTTATTTTCCTGTGTACTTCAAACTGAACTGAAACRTAATTTGTATCATTTTGGTTATCAAAGTTATCAAAGAAACCTAAGTTAGTGTTCCAAGAATGCAGTGATCACACATGCTGAAAAGCTAGGGCTGCATCAGTTAGTGCATTAGTACATMCTGGTAGGTATCTGCACATGATATCATCAGGGTGCTCACAGCATCACAGAATGGCTGAGGTTAGAAGGGACCTCTAGAGATCACCTAGTCCAACCCCCTGCTCCAGCAGGGACACCCAGAGCACAGGGCGGCATCCAGGCGGGTTGGGAAGATCTCCAGATAAGGAGACTCCACAGCCTCCCTGGGCAGCCTGTGCCAGGGCTCTGGCACCCTCACAGKGAAGARGTTCTTCCTCACATGCAGATGGAGCTGCCTGTGTTTCAGCTTGTACCCATTGCCCCTTGTCCCGTCATTGGCCACCACTGAGAAGAGTCTGACCCCTTCCTCCCTACATTACCCCTTCAAGTACTTATACATAATCAGATCCCCTCTCAGCCTTCTCCAGAGAAAAGTGTTCAACTGTCCATTATAGCAGCAAGCGAGTTAAAGTGTATTTGTCTTTATCAATCATGCAAAAAAAAAAAGTAGTTAGTTTCAAGTGCACATACAATAGAAGCCAAAGTGCAGTTCAGGGAATTGCAGGGAAATAGCTAATTTGTAGCATAGCATTGCAGGGAAAGCTAACTTACCTTCTCAACTAATTCCTCTGTGGATATATTTGGATCATAAGGAATTGGTTCTCCAATATAAGTGCGAAACTTTACAGGAATCCCTCCGTATGGTGGAGTAAACGGCAGTCGAGTGCTTTCATATAACTGTCTTAAAAATCCTACAAAAGTGAGATCACAGTGACAAGAAACCCAATCTAAACTTGAAGCTGATGGATTTCGAAAGAACCCTTGAAAATGCTGCTCTCATTTAACAGTCAAGAATAAATTGTAAGGTTTAGGTAACTGTCCAGCAAAACAAGGCAGGACAGAATTAAGAGATTACAAAAAGGAGGCTGCAGTAAAGAACCAAATCACAGAGTACACTCTAGTTACACACTGGCTAATAGGAGATGCCTCTGCCCCACAGCAGGCATGTTAAAGAAGCCAGGGAAAGCAAAAGTCTGAAAAGAAAAGTCTTTGAGAGAAAAGTGAAGAAAATATTTCAAACATGTGAAATATATTTTAAAGTTCTTACTTGTTTCTTTAAACATCCTATATGCTTCCCGGACATTTTGAGTATACATTGGAATGATGGGCTATGGGATCAAGAAAAACAAGAGAGTAAAAGTCTTACACTGTGTTGGAATTGGTGTCATAGTGGCAGATATTGCAGATGAGGAAATTCCTTGAATGKAGAAGATAAGAACAGGTTGGTCAGATGACACACACAGTACTTCGTTATCCCTGAAGTGCTGAGGGCTTGGTATATTGTCCTGCAAAGGACGTTTATTTTCTTTTGAACTTACCTTCCAATCTGCACTGGGAGTTGCGGAATTTGGATAACTTACAAACATTCCAACATTCACATTTCCATTTGGGACAAATACCCATGTGAAACGTTTCTCTTAGCCATGACTGGAAAGGGAGACAGGGCCCCACTTGGCACCAGCCAGTAGTTTGCTGACTTTCCTCCCCATCTTAGGTGCCTCTACAGAAATTCAAGTATCAGTTCTGCCTGGGAATCAATAAGCTGTATTTTTTTTCTCTTTTTTTCCCCCTCTGGAAATAAATGCCATTATCAGCAATGTGTTGTTTTCAGTCTTCCCACTTTGAAAGCCCATCCTGCGCTTGAGATCTCTTACMTACAGACTGCACTGAGGAAAGTAGTTTCTCCCGTTCTAATTCATTTCCCAAATGTAAAAAAAGAATTGAGTAAAATAAACTGAATGACAATTAATCATTATTTTTGCCATGGTGAACAATAAGAATTAGATGTTCTCTGTGCAACGATCAAAAAAAATATATAAATGCAAAATTCAAATTGTGAAGATTTGTTAAGCATGAAATCTGCCTTTTTTCTCCCTCAAGATATTTCTTCCCCAAGATTATTTTTATAGCCTCTTGCTGGCTTTTCAGACACAGACTAAGATGTTGATTAAGCCTCACTTCTTCTCCTGTTCCTTCCTAAGTGTAGTGAATATAGTGAATAATAGTGAATATAAATATATATATATGCTACTGATATTATAGCAAAAGCTTGAAAGGAAAATGAATTACTTTAACATCCTCTTGTGTAATGTCAACCAAGTGTCTTCATCATATATAAGCTCAAGAACAGARGTCAAAAGACATCTCTGAGCTCCCACAAGCACTGCTGTTGTCAAGTCAGCATTCGCAAGGCAAGTGACCAGCACTGACAGTGGTTTACACCTTTCACTGCAGATGCAAGTTGTAGGGATTGACTGGAATTCTAAGGAAAATAATTGGGATGTTATGGATTTATTGTAGTATGTCTGACTGAACCATAAAGTGAAACTTTGCAACTTCCCTGCCTCAGTGTAAAATCATGTGTTCTGAATAGGGAGTCATTCAGTTCAGGAGCTCTTACCACAACAGAGAGCAGGAGGGCATTCAGTTGTGGCTTGTATCTCTTCCTCAAAATAAGTTAATGATATAATATTAAGTAATAATGTTTAAAGTATTGATGTTTAGATAATAACCCCTTTGGAAAAAAACAAACAAACAAAAAGTGCTTTGGATAAAGAAAGGCCATTCCGTGTCCTAAATGATTTATGCTGCTGTCCTTCTGGAGGGCAGTCCTGGGGCGGCTAAAGAAAAGAAAGAACCAATTCCCTTCATTATTGGAACTAAAGCAAGAGAATTCTGCAATGTGTGTTTGGTTCATGGAAGGGGGGCTGCACTGCAGGGTGGATACATTCAAAAGAAAGCTCTGCTCCTCTTCTCTTGCCTCTAACTAGACCCTGAGTATTAGCAAAACATACATTAGTTGCTTCATTACAAAATCAGCTCTGTTAAGTTCAGATGGTTCTACTGCCAGTTTTCAGGCACCCAGTGAGGCTGTTYTGACCAGATTTGAAAAGGATGCAGCAAAAACGAACAGGAGAAATCACTCGAGTTTGTGAACACATGTAATCCAGTTACTACTATGGGACTAACCTTAGTGAGAAACAGTGCATGTGGTTAATGCTGTCCTCCTTACTGGTGAAGTTTGGGTGAAGTTGGGTTCCTACAGTTAAACAGCACTTTTTTCTTTTTTTTTTAAGCACCTTTTTCTGTCTATTTCTAATTACAGATTTCCAGAGAAATATTGAAATYTTCCTGAATGCCCAAATTCAGTGGTGCCTACGAGCTTGTTACAGCGATGCCTACAGCTCGTTATCAGACCTCCTGATCATAAGGAGACAGMCACCTGCAAGGGTGAGCTCAAGAAAGAGAAGCAGCGTGGAGCAGGACGCCCTGTAACGCGGGGCAGCGCTCGGGCTGGCAGGTGCCGAAGGAGACAGTCCCCGCTGGGCCCTCCAGCCCAACAGTCCTACGTAGCGCCCGCTTCAGCAGGCAGGGTAACCTAAATCRCTGCAGGGAAGCTTGAAAGGCAAACAGGGAAATTAAATAATGAAAAATCATTCGAGTGGCATAACAAGCATTCATGTTATTATGTTTTAATACAGAAAAGAAAAAGTAGTAAGGGACTTCAAAATGCATATCAAATTTGCCTGGGTTTATTCTGTTCAGACTCTCATATTTTCCTATTAGTGGTGGTGCACAAGCCCTCACAGTACTTTAAGTATTAGGACTAGCAGCGCTCTCCTTTGAGAGAAAAGGAAGGTAAAAGGGAGCAAAATGWACATGAAGAGCAAAGGTAAGAACAAAATCCTGCTCTGGCACAGAGCAAAGGGGGAAGAAGGAAAAATAAGGATAGTGCATTAAAAATCTATAAGCAAATGACTAGATGTGTAGAAGGGAAAAATCACAGGAATAGAGTCATAGTCTAGTAGGATGAGGAAAAAAAAAAATCAAATGGAATCAAATGTTACAGCAATATTGACAAGAAGGACCAAGGCATAAATTTGTGAAATGTAGTCAAGACAAGAAAGTAAATGTCTGCATGACAGTAGTGTTGTTTTGTTTTAAGATAGGAGGCATCAGGCAGAGACTCATCCAAGACAGAGCTGTAGAGAGGGATGCTCTGCAGTGGCCAAGCTAGAAGCTCTACACGTTCACAACCCCCCTGCTGCCTGCACATTGCTAGGCTTGAGGAAGGTAGGAGAAGAGAAATAGATTTACTCTCAAACCTTGACAAACTTCTCTCTGAAAGTTTTCCCAGTAAACTCACCTAAACTGCATTCTATAATGAAACATGCACGCAATAAAGCATAAGCTGGGATGGTAATGTGAACTACTCACCACTTTTGCATCTATAGCCACCTGAGCGAAACCCTTTCGGTTCCCCCACATGAGCTGGTAGCTTTCGTCGCTGAAGAGTGCTTCTCTAACCCCRCCAGGTGAGATGGACACCAGATGCCCCTTCCTCAGCGCGCTGAGACACTCCTCCCTGGTGCCTGGCATAATACCAGACACTGCCAATAACAGCTTAATTCCTGTAATAAATAAGTAGCAAATACATGGTTAGGTAACACTAAATCATAGTGCTTCCATGTAACAAGATTACTGCTTAATGAAAAGCTAATGGCTGCATAATTGAAATAAGGCAAACTTCTATGAAGTCAATAAAACACAGAGCAAATAAAACACAAACAGAGCAAATAATGGCAACGTGGTGAATGTGGAGCAATATTTTGGGGCAAGCACTATKAACATGAACTTAGTAAGAGCATCTCCCCAAGTCAATCCAAATGGATGCTTTTTTTTTTGTATACGATTTATTTGCCATAAATATCAAAACACCAGCCATGCTATGGACACTACTGCCTCATATCTGGAAATCTGACAATTAACCTCTACTCCTCCCTCCTGTCTTTTAAATATTTTTTAACAAAAAAAGTACAATAAATATTATTAAAAAAAAACTGCCTGTAAAGTGTGGATTTTTAGCGCTCTTTTAAAATGTAATGTTTAATGTTTTATGCAGAGTTCTATGCAGTTAAATTACAAACTACTTCAGATTGTTAAKCTTGGCAGTTCTACGACTCTTAAGATGCAGAATTAACAGGGCAGTTTCAGTACCAGCGGAACTGGATGAATCTCCTTCACTTCTTTCAATAATTGTGGTTTCTCCAAAAGACAGATTTTAAAGCACAGACAGCAGCATTTCATTATATTATGTTCACATTTTAAATCTAGAAATTCTAACTTTCAGCTTCAGAAAACAAGGTTTTCCYTAGTCTTCCAATTCCCTGTATTCAACTGCATTGCTTGAGAAGTAGCTATTTATAATAATAACCATAAAACAACTACACGCTGTCAAAAGGGATGTCTAGCACTGCATTTTTTACAAGAGTTAGCAACAGAAACTCTGGAAGACAGTGTGGAAAAAAAAAGAATTTTGTATTTGCATCTAATGTGACCCAGTGCCTCTTACTGGATTATTTTTTCTACCAAAGATAACACTTTGACTTTGTCTAATCCCTTTATGAACTCACTTTTATTTCTCATCTAGCTATGAAAGCCATAGAGTTATTAAGCGAAATTTTTTTTGCTTTAAAATTTTTGCTTTTTAAGAATTACAATGTATCACACAGAATTACTATAAAGGAGAGTTAACACTTCTTATTCACCTCTTCCTTTAATTTTATGTCCTTCTATCATGCAAGAATTCAGTGCTACTTAGTCTCCTCAAAGGAAGCCATTCCAGGCCTCTGGTCATCCTTGTTGCCTGTTTTTTTTTGGGTGTCGGGGGGCATCTTTTCTACTTTGTGGCTTTTTTTTGAGAAGAAACCAGAACTTCATGCACTACTCGAGGTGTGGACCGTATGTATATTGAGTAGCATAATGCACAATGGTATTTTCTGTTTTCTCACTTCCTGATATTTCTATTATGCCTATTATGTTATGTTATGCTTTTAGTATTCTCTTACATGTTGACACCGTATTTCCCACCTTCTATTCCTCTAGAACAAACATGATTCAAATAGCATGTGATGTAAAACCAATAGTATGTCAATTCTACAGTTCAGTTATTTTATAACCCTTTAGGAACAAATAGATTCATTCTACTAATACGCTGCAAATACATTTATAATTTAAATCTCTGCTACTCATTATTCAATATGAATACCTCTACTTTATCCCTTGAGAGAAGAAATCTCTGGTTCAAAATTCTGCTAAACTTTAGTTTACTTTGGGGTTCCAGCTGCAAACCAGAATCTCTTGATTTTCTTCCCTTTCATGTCTTTCTAGAAGTGCCGTAATATGGCTTCACATTAATTTCCTYGAGTTTATGTTTTCTTTGTCTTCCTTGTTTAGACCTTCTTTTTTCAGAAAAATTTATTTTTAAATAGCTTGCTCCATATTATCATCACCCTTAAAACAGGTGGCATACCTATATTAAGGCATTTACCTGCCTGTCCTATCTTTTTGCTTAAAAACTCTCTTCAGATTGCAGTGGTTTTTAATTTCAGTGAAATCAGCAATAGGCAGATAGGCAGAACGAACTCAGAGGGCTCCCCCTCACAGGGGAACATGTTCTTACCTGGCAAACGGAAGACAAAATGGTCGGCTACGGACATACAGAGTCTTTTTTTCCAGAGAAAGAGCCTAGATAAAAARTAAAGGTGGTCTATAGGAATGGCTCCATGGTAATACACAAGAATGCCTGCGCCTTCTGGTAGGTTTTCCACACCATGAAGTTCGTAACCTGCATGGGATATAAAGCAAAGCAGCTGCTATCCTTTACGGAACGTCTTTCAGCCAGAGGTGCAAGAGCCTCAAGAGTAACAGCCAAGAGCCTAAGAGTAACGGCCTAGTAAGCCTAGTAGCCTTGGGAAAGGGATGGCATGGGAGCAGGCAGCCCCAGGAAGCGCCGGAGAAGGCTTCCTGCTGTAGGAGGCTCAAAGATGAAGGGAAAAAGGCTGTGAAGAAGGGTGGCAACACAGAACAACGCTTAATTCTTCATCATTAGGGAAGCGGAATTAAGTCCTGCTTATAGGCTGCCCACATCTGTGGGAAGAGTGGGTACGTGGCTCGGGGCTGCGGATTTTCCCAGGTGGCAGGGTGTGTTGAGGTGTCTGCAGTGAATGATCAGATAACTTTTAAATTCTGCCACGGCATGAATTTGAATACAGTATCTAATTATTTCTTTTCCATACAGCCTTTAAAGTTATCTTAAGCTGTCATAACACAAAATAGTTTTCTCCAACTACAAATACTCTAATTATACTTCCAGTTAGTTGGTTAGGTTTTTTTTTCATTCGATTGTTCATTTAGGTGGGTTATGAGGAGCTACTAAAATATAAAAGGAAATCCTAAGTCTCCCCTGCAGTTAAGTAACTACAATTAAYGTGAACACTGAAGTCCACTGTGAAACCATGAAGAGAAGTGCATCTTCCTACTGACTTTCAGAAATTTACCCTATATAATTTCATTTATTTCCTTCGTTCTTTTTCTTCTAGATTGCAAWCACCTTTTAGAGCAAAACCTTATGCGTTCTATGCCACATGAAATACAATATATATCACTTCTCTGCATGCATTTGGGAGAAATCTAAAATTAAAACTTGGCAACACTTACTATCCACTGTAAGCCAAGCTTTCAAATTATCAAGCCATACTCACCATGCCATACTCTTGCACATATATCCCAGAAGCTTGCCAAAGTTTTCCGTGCATTATCCCAAACATCACTCAAGGGATCTGCTTTTACCTCACTGTTCCTCTGATATATTAAAAGCAAAATATTAGCAAGGTAAATGAAAAATACGATTGTTAAAGGAACTATAAAAAAAAACAGTATTGCACTCATCATCAGTGCAAAAATGACTACATGAAAAAAGTACTTCTCCAGGTACTCCACACCAGTCCATTCTTCCAGCATGTAAGCAAACCAGCTTAGGTAGGTCATAGGTATCTGTCCTGAAGCACAGAATTCTGTTCTACCTATCATGTCCTGCATGAAAGAGAACAAAAACAAGTCTATTGTCTGTGATCACAGAAGTTACTTAATTTAGAAAAAAATCTTCACACTGTAAATATACCTAATGATACCTAATGGCATTTTTGGTATAGCAGAGTCAAAAATTTTATTCCTCTCCGTCATACTAAGGTTGCTATTGCAATTGCTATCCACTATTGCCTATGAGGGTCAATTAGATTATTTTAAGTATTTATGGATCTATTTTTCCAAGCAAGACAATAGAGATCCAGAAAATAAGTAATAGAGTCCAAAAGATGGTTTTAGGCTAGACTTTTTGAGAATTCCAGAGGAATCCATGCTAAACAGAACATATTTACTACCAAAACTACTTACCGTCACCATTTTTTCCTGTATAAATCTGCCTTACTTGTTTAGGGCATCAACAGAATAGAAGTAATAAATATTTTCAGCAGAGTTAACCACAAACACWGATTCCAAAGGCCCTGGCTGTGGTGGAGCTCTCCCGAGAGTTCCGACCAGCTTCCTTGCTCCCCTCGATTTGGTAGCGAGCAGCAAGTACAAGCAAGGAAGGAACCAAAGCGTGARCAGCTGAGCTCGACAGGCACACGGCAAAATCCTGAGGAGCGGCTGCTCCATCCAAAGCGCTAGAGGTGCCTGGAACAGCATTTCCAGCCACCTCTGGCGGCAGGGAAGCTGCAAACACCCTCTTCTCAGGGCCTTTCCAGGCCTAAGGAAGGGAAATTAGGCTCTCTGGGCCTACTGATAGTTCTGCCACATATGAAGCGACTTTGTCTGCTCCTGTACTTGACTCTAGCTGCTTCACAGCAAGCAACGGTGTCTCTAGAATTGCAGTAGGATTCCACTGTCTCTTGCTTATTTTAAGATTATTAAGCACATTAACCAGCGATTTAAACACGGCACTCGTACACACTAAGCCCTCACTGAATACAGCTTCAGTTGGCTCACTCGGGTCACTGCTTGTTTAACGACTACATTTTTCTGGTCTAACTCCAGAGCAAGTATAGACAAGAAACAAATCACAACTGCCACAGTGCCAAGAATTTTAAGTACGGCAAGTCCAAACAGATTTTTCTGACTTTATGTCTTCAGCTGAGTGTATTTGACAAAGACAAACAAACCTATTATTAACTAGCAACTCCAATTCCTGTCTTTATTTTTCTTTCTTAAAACCCTGGATGTAAAACTGGAAGTGATTTGATATAAAGGACAGCTCCAATACCACAGAATACTGTCTTGGCTTTCAAAGGCACAGGATCCTGTGCAACGGGATGGCTTCCAATTCACAGTAACCAAATAAAAGAGCTGGAAGGTTATTAAACTAAAAGTGTAAAAGGAAGCAATCATATTAAATCAAATTCAGCGGGTATAAATAAAGGAAACCAATGCAGCAAGGAGATTATGAGAATTAATATATTGTTTATGCACTGATTACAGGTGTTGGACTAAGAATCAGGAAGAGCTACAATTTCTCACTGAAAGAGCATAAGGGAAACAAAAAAGAACAGTCTGTATCATTAGAAATTAAAGTCTCTGCTTAAAAGGTGCTTAAAAAGGCCGTAACTGACGGTGTGGCACTGCTGCCTACTTAAGCAGTGATTAAATGCTCCAAGTTACTGATAAGAGTGAGCTCTACAAATCCTGCCTGTTGTGAGCTTGCTTCTGCTGACAGGCCCCAGGAGGGCGATGCCTCCGGCTGCCTCCGGCTACCGAATCCCGAACCCATGAGAGGCAACTGGCGAGGCCGCCGTGTTGGGAGCAGGACGGGAGCGGGGCCTGGGCTGTCAGGCAGCCTCGGAGCACCCGCGGCAGCCRGCAGCAAGACGGAGGCTCTCTTCAAATTACAGATAAGTTTTCCGCACGCTTGATAAATGTACCCACAATAAGGTAAATATTTTCAACTATGTGATGAGGGAATTAATGGCAGTATATTGATCCATGACTGGAACCTGTTAATCAAGAGATCGTATAGTCTATCAACATTTAAAGATTAACATGTCCTGATATCTTTTACTTATCATTTGTTAAAAAGCCATTTGAAATTCCCACTGCCCCGCTGACATTCATTTTTAATAACTCCTGAAACACTGAGGGAAATCACAAAACCTGACAGAAATGTGGTGTTATTCCAAAGTCCCCAAATGCAGGTAACGCTGCAGATCTCAGCAGACAGGTAAATCACCAGCAAGAAAACTGAAAACCTGGTATGTGATGAATAGAAACGATGCCACTTATTGTCATCTTGGGGGAAACTCATTTTGTAAACAAATGTACCTCCATTCTTTGGGAAAATTATGGAGGTTTAAGCCATATATATCATATGCCTTTTATTGAGGACTTGTTAAATGGTCTCTTCAAGCTACGTACGAGCTGCTACTCACCCTTCCACCAGCCCCTGACTGATACCAAACTGGGTGGAGTGGCCAGCACTCCAGAGGGCTGTGCTGCCATCCAGAGGGACCTGGACAGGCTGGAGACTTGGGCAGAGAGGAACCTCATGAGGTTCAACAAGGACAAGTGCAGGGTCCTGCACCTGGGGAGGAATAACCCCAGGCACCAGGACAGATTAGGTCTCCTGACCTGCTGGAGAGCAGCTCCACGGAGAGGGACCTGGGAGTCCGGGTTGACACCAAGTTAACCATGAGGCAGCAGTGCCCTTGTGGCCAAGAAGGCCAATGGGATCCTGGCTCCATCAGGAGGAGTGTTGCCAGCAGGTCAAGGGAGGGGATCCTGCCCCTCTCCTCAGCTCTGGTGAGGCTACACCTGGAATATTGGAGTTGGAGCTTCTAGAGAGGGAGTATTGAAGTTGGAGCTTCCTGGACTTGGAGCTTCTAGAGAGGGTCCAGCGGAGGGCAACAAAGATGATTAAAGGACTGAAGCATCTCTCGTATGAGGAAAGAGTGAATTAGGCCGGTTCAGCCTGGAGGAGTGAAGGTTAAGAGGGGTTCTGATCAATATGTACAAATACCTGAGGGGAAAATGTAGGGAGGAAGGGGCCAAACTCTTCTCAATGGTGGCCAGTGACAGGACAAGGGGCAATGGGTACAAGTTGAAACACAGGAAGTTCCATCTTCATACGAGGAAGAACTTCCTCATTGTGAGGATGACAGAGCCCTGAACAGGCTGCCCAGGGAGGTTGTGGAGTCTCTTTCTCTGGAGTCTCCTTCTCTGGAGTCTCCACATCCGCCTGGATGCCACCATGTGCCATATGCTCTAGAGGTCCCTSCTGGGGCAGGAGGGTTAGTCTGGATGATCCCRAGAGGTCCCTTCAAACCTCAACCTTTCTATGATTCTGTGATTCTGTATGTTCTCACTGCAGCCCAGTGCTGGCATAGCCAGACCCAGGACCAGCAGGACCACCCAGTTCCYTGCTAATGAGATGACTGCATGAATGCTGGCAGAGCAAAGCACGTTTTGGGAACAGCCCAAGTTTGAATTGGCCTACAGTGAATTTTGAAAGTACATTGCTAATTCCTTTTAATATTTTGATTAAAAAATAAAGCTCTTTATAATGGGGACATACAAAATGAATAATGTCATCAACTGACATGACAAAAATGTCACTGGGGAAATTCCCATCACTGGCGAAATTCCCATCAAATGGGAATTGTTTCTAAATCCTACATTATTAAATATCTTCAGAACTTTCTCCCAACCTCAAAAGGACATTATTTGTACTAATTCTTCTTCCTCCATCCCAATTTTTACAGAGCATAAAACAATAGACGGAGAATGCTGTTTTTAACCTTGTCTGTGCACAGATCACCATATAAAAGCAAATCAGTTATTATTCATTTCTGATTTTAAGTATAGACACAAAAAAAAAGAAAACAAACAAACAAAAACTCTAGAAGAAAGAAATGCAGTGAATTAATTATCCAAAAATATTTGGATAACTTTTAAAACCTATAAAAGAGGAATCAGCATTCCTGATTTCACTACGGACATGTGGAAGTAGCTGGGTACACACTCTACACAAACCAGTTAAGTGGGTAGATGGGAAGCAAGTTAACCCTACACCACTGCAATTAAATCCAAGGCAGAACAGAGAGAGAATAAATGACTGACTGACTAAGTAATAGCTGGAAGGAACATGGAAGGATCATCTTACTGGTAAGTTTGGGATGCTCAGCTAGGATACAGGTTCTACCCAACAGTTCCATTGAACACTATCTCCAGCATCTCAAAGGAAAAGAATGAATCCGGATCAGATTTCAGATTGTATGATTTGAGTCCAAGGTGGTAAATACATCTCTCTGCAACAGTCAGCATGACAGCAAAGGCCTAGTATAGGAGAGCACTTCTTCCCTGACATGTCTTCCTGCCCGCTCTCCCCTGCCTCTTGGTGAGACCACAAACACTATTTTGAGGAATCCTTTTTACCAAACATTGCACAGAGAATTCATTGCATAACTCATTGAGCACTTATTGCAAAGCTCTTACTAAAGACCTACTTGATTATGCATTGAACGGAAATGTAAGCGCATTACTGCAACATGTCTGCTCCTAACTGTTCTGCTTTGCCCCAAGACTTGGAATTTTAAGGAGAAATTTCTCTCCTACTTTTATCAAATACGAGTCAAAAACATCTAAGTTAATCTAAAGATTAACAGAAAAGTATAATGTTTTGTGAACAAASATTATTTTCAACAGTCTACTTTTCTACTCTCACCTAGTGATGGACTTAGTCTTACTATTCTGAGTGATTTCATTTCCTTCTAGGTAACAACATCTATGTTGACATACAAGATGTTTGTTTGGCTCCACCTATGAAGTACATCAAATTCCAGAGTAATAGCAGTATTTACAACGTAAAATTACAGATGATGTCATAGGAAAAACTAATTTCTCTCCGTTTAAAGGCAAGCTCCCTTTGCAACGAAAGACTTTTGTGCTAGTCTTTCACATCCTGAGCTCTTGCTGAAGAAGCACTTGTTAATAAGCATAATCTTATCAGATACYATTATAATGCCAGGAAATGGAAGAACACTGTCAAGAGACTTATGGCAACCAAATTAAAACCTTTCAGTCATCTTTCAGCTTTGACTGAAGTGTGGGCAACCTCAGTCTTGATAAACTCTTTGAAGACGGAGTTCATGAACTCTTTGTTCCTCGTGAAATGTTTAGCTGAGCAGAGTACAGTAGCGCTAAGCAGCTGAGGACTTTTCTGCACAGAATTTAGTGATACCAGCTCTCTTGTGTCAGGCTCTTGCTTTCCATTCTGTCAGCCTCAAGTGCTCTATTTCACAAGGGAAATAAGGCAGCAGTTACAACTCTAAATATTGCCTGTCTTCTGAACAGGATTCAGCCAAGGACTTACTCAGACTTTCCTACCAGTTTTGAAATGGGAAAATACAAAAATATGGTAAATGAGTTGCCAAATTTCAGCTACATGATTCAGACTTTCCCCTCTC